GTGGGATCCGAACCCTCGGGCGGGAGCGCCACCGCGCTTCCCAAGCAGCGCACTATCCAGTACGCCACCGGGCCGGCCCCTATTAGTCCCATTTTAAGGAAGAGGAAGCTGAGGCCCAAAATTGTTCAATAATTTTCCCAAGCTCCCAAGTTTTTTCCAGTGGTAAACATTCTCTAACAGAGCAACTGGCCATGATTCAAGGAGGGTGGGTCGAGCGATTATGGCAGTTTGGGAAAATCCTCAAAAGAATTTCACCTCTTTTCTCAGTGCAATCAGATGTATAATTATGACAGTATCTTCACAGTTAGATATTCAACATGAGATCAGAGAACCTCCGCTTATAAAAAAAGAAGAGAGAGAGAGAGAGATGTAAGACACAACTAAGCATACATCTTATTGATGTATGCTACTTATTGAGCATCAACCAATGATATTTAAGGGGCTATGAATCCACGTTCTTTCCATTACAAAGGTAAAACGAAATCATTGCACTCATTAATATTTTTTAGCAAATACTCAGAAAAATGCCACCCACTGTCTTAGGTAATAATCTACATGAACATAGCTATTCAGCCTTATTCTACTCTTAGCACAGGTTTGAAGAGCTTTTGTTGTAGGAGCCTGTTTATTTTTGTAAGAATTCTCTAACACTTGCAAGTTACATTGGAGTATCCTAACAACAGAACAAACTTTGCCAAAGCAATTCTTGAACTCATTCCAAGGTACGTATGAAAGGAGAAGTGATTTTTAAAGAAGGAGGGGAGTACTTTCAAAAGATGCGAAGGGAGTTTCAGGGTTATAAGACCTCACCATCCCAAACGTCTGAATTCAAGGAAATAAAGATGGGAGGCCCTGAAAAACAGGAAGAAATATGATTAACTCAGTATGAAAGGAGAAGTGATTTTTAAAGAAGGAGGGGAGTACTTTCAAAAGATGCGAAGGGAGTTTCAGGGTTATAAGACCTCACCATCCTAAAGGTCTGAATTCAAGGAAATAAAGATGGGAGGCCCTGAAAAACAGGAAGAAATATGATTAACTCAAAAACCACAGCAGAGTACTGGATCAAGGAGGATCATGGATAGAAATTTATAAGACAGGCTTTTCAAACACAAAAACTAAGAAAACAGAAAAACAAAATGTTCAAGTAATGTAAAAAATAAAAATAATTCACGAGGTTCTTCCAAAAACCTTACAATAAAAATAGACAAAAATGAAGTCAAAAGAAATGTACAGCTTCAAAATCTGCATAGGTAAATAAGAGGAACTTTGAATTTAGCTAATTAGATGTCATTTAAATTTAAATGACACATGGCCTAACGATGAGCACCACCAGTATGACAGGAAGACTGGTGACTTGTGCTCTTGGCCTATCTGTCATTTGGTAGCCTAAATTAGCAAGGCATCATGACACAATCCAGGGAGGAACTTCCCCTCTGCTCGTCTGTGGATGCAGCTCAGCAGTCACGTGTTACCTGCTTCTCTCGAGGTACCGGACTTAGCAGCAGTGGAACAGGGTTATACAGTCAAATTCACATTTTCCACTGTGTTTGGCAGTAAAAGGAGGTTGAATGCTATTAATTCAGCAACTAAAAGAATGCATTGGTAATGACAGATTGAAACACTAAATATTGCCACAGAAATCAGAGTAAAAAAATAATATATTTTTATTTTTTTCTGTTTCCAGTGGTCTGATACTAAATCCTCCTGCAGAAGTGAAGCTGCACAAGAACACATTAGGGTTCTTTATTGCTGAGTCTCCAAAGGAAATCAAAAGGTAATTTTTTTTATTACTTTTTTTTGGGGGGGAAGCACTAAAGCACATAGAACTTAATGGGAGGCAGACTGAGTCAGCACCATGCCTCCTCAGTGTTAAGTCTCACATAAGTCATTCTTGATTTGCTTTCATTGTCCAGAGCCTTCTTTTACTGTGCCACTTGTCATAATGATGTGTATACTCCTGAGCTAATTGCAAAATGTGGCTGCAAAACCAGGAACCGACTGCACATCACAGGTAATTGCACTTTATGTCTGGCAGTCCTTATCCCAAGCTTCTAAGGGTCTGGCCAAGGAAAGAGAAGCAGACTGTCTCTTAAAAGACAACATCCATTTGAACTTTGCTAGAGGTGGCAGATATTTCCCCACTGGGCATACAAGACTTGAGGATCAGTGTTTTTGAGCTGGAGGAAACCTTACTAGTTATCTAATTCAACTCCCTAACAGGCCAGGCAAAGGAATTCCAAGAAAGATTCAGTAATGCTTTCCAAAGTCACCTAGCCAGCTGGTGGCATCAGCAAACTCGATCCCAGGCATGCTGACTTTCAGCCCATGGGTTTTTCACTATATCACACAGGATTTCCCAACTGCAGGCTGAATATTCAGCCTGTATCTGACTGTTTGGCTGTCTAGGGGGCTGCTACTTCATGACCATTCCTTGAGAACTCTGTTTCTCTATAGAGGGAGTTTAACGTTTACTCCTTCTGACAGTGATGAGGGGTGCAACTTTCTGTTTCATCTAATGGAACTCCCTGGCTTACCAATAACATTCTACACCTGGGAGCAGGAACAAAAATTAATCTCAAACATTCATGATAACTTAGTTCCTTTCTGGCTTAAAACTTAGTCTCTTCCAGGTAGCTTCTGAATAGCTTCTCTTCCTGAATAGCTTCTTTGGGTAAAACCCCAATGTTTCAGGACTGTTCTTCTCTCTTAGGTCCATATTCTGTCCTCCCCAGATTGCTATTCAAATGCAGAAGTAAACATGCTGAACATCACAGTGGCTCTTGTAGTGAACAGCACATCCTCCCTGACTGCTCCGGAGGCTCCTCGCCCCCTCTGGTCTGTAACTGTCACCCTCTGTGACCTCTGCATTGTCAGCCAGTGAGTGTGTTCCTCCTGGCTTTAGGGTCACCTTCTGTCATTTGTTACTGAAATCCATCATCCCCATCACAGCCTCTGGTCTCGAGGTCTACAAAAGCCTCCTTTTCCATACTCCGAGTCATTTCATTCGTGATGTTATTTTGGTCCCTCTGCTGTTCAGGATTTTTTAATCTGCCCACGTGTGCATGTATGTCAGGATGCAGGGACCAAGGTGGGCTTGCTCTCAGGGTTTCTCCCTGCTTAGACACACATGCTGGCACATCTCTTGCTGTTGCGTTGTTACTAGACACTCCAAGAACAGCACCAGGAATCCATGTGAAAAGCAAAGCATCTCTCTCTTTTTCTCCCCCTGAACATCATACAACTGTCATATTCCCTTGTCTCGTCGCACTCCATCATGTGTGGGGGATGGGGGACTGGGTCCTTTTTCAGGGATCCAAACTCTGCCTTTTTTTAATAAGAGCTTTATGGATAGAATTCAAATACTATAAAATCAATACCATATTCATTTAAAGGGTACAATTCAATGGGTTTTAGTATATGAGCAGAATTGTGCTATCATCACTACAATCAATTTTAGAACATTTTTCTTTGCTCAAAAGGAAACCCATATGGGGCCGGCCCGGTGGCGCACTGGATAGTGCGCCGCTTGGGAAGCGCGGCGGCGCTCCCGTCCGAGGGTTCGGATCCCACATACAGACCGGCATATTCATTTAAAGGGTACAATTCAATGGGTTTTAGTATATGAGCACAATTGTGCTATCATCACTACAATCAATTTTAGAACATTTTTCTTTGCTCAAAAGGAAACCCATATGTTAGGTTGGTGAGACAAAGGGATCAAAAGACTCCAAGCCAGACGTTTAGCATGCCAGGGAGTTTATTTCCAGCAAACCTGGAGGGGAGACTGAAAGATCAGTTCCTGTCCCTCTACAGACTAGTAGAGGTTTTATGGGGTTTGAATTAGGGGAAGGGCGTTGGGTGGAGGGTATAAATTTTGAGAAGGGGTTGTGTAACTTCTCTGAGCAGTCAGCACTTTGCAATGGTTCTGTGGTTTTCCTGTTTTGCACAAGATTCTGTTTTGCACAAAATCCAGGTTTTCTTGGAAAGCACTTGCTTCAGAGAAGGGGTGGGGGTAGGGAGCAGGTGAGGAAGGGGTCAGCATGGCTATGCTTTTGCTAAGCTGATTGTGAGACCTAGTACCATGGCCACTCACAGCTCCTCCTCATTCTGTCCTACCCACACCCCTGGAAACCACTAGTCTACTTTCTGTCTCCATAGATTTGCCTGTTCTGGTCATTTCATAAGAAGGGAACCACCCAGTATGTGGCCTTTTGTGTCTGGTCCCTTCACTCTGCCGCGCTGTGCCGTAGCATGTATCAGTACCTCATTTCTGTTGATGGCTGCACCACATTCCACTGCATGGATGCACCCCTTTTTATTTATCCATCCATTTGTTGATAGGGATTTGGACTGTTTCCATCTTCTGGATATTGTGTATAATGCCGCTATGAACATTAGTACACTAATGTCTGTCCAACTTCCTGCTTTCTTTTCTTTGTGTACATACCCAGGGGTAGAATCCCTAAATCAAATGTTAATTCTATGTTTGATTTTTGGAGGATCCATCATACTGGTTTCCACAGGAGCTCCATCATTTTATATTCCCACGAGCAACACACAAGGGTTCCAGTTTCTCCAATGCATTCTCACCAATGCATGTTGTTTTCCTTTTTAAAAAAAAATAATAGCCATCCTAATAAGTGGTATCTTGTGGTTTTGATCTAAATTTCCCTGATAGTTAATGCTGTCAAGCATCTTCTCATGAACATCTTATTGGCCATTTATGTATCTTCTTTGAAGAAATGCCTATTCAGATCTTATTTTTTAATCAAGTTATTGTCTTTCTATTAAGTTGTATAGGTCTTTATATATTCTGCATACGTATTCCCTATCAGATACATGATTGGCAAAAATTTTCTCCCATTCTGTGGATTATCTTTTCATTTTATTTATATATTTTAAAGCACAGAATATTTGATTTTGATAAAGTTCAATGATATATATATTTTTTTCTTTTGTCACTTGTGCGTTTGTGCTTATCTAAAAAGGTCTTGACCAGTCTAAAGTCGTGAAGATTTACTCTAATATTTTCTTCTAACAAATTTCTTTCTTTCTTTCTTTCTTTCTTTCTTTCTTTCTTTCTTTCTTTCTTTCTTTCTCTCTCTCTCTCTCTCTCTCTCTCTCTCTCTCTCTCTCTCTTTCTTTCTTTCTTTATTTGCCTATTACCCTTAGATCTATGATCCATTTGAGTTGATCTTTGTGTATAGTATGGGGAAGGAGTCCAACTTCATTCTTTTCAATGTGGGTATCCAGTTGTCCCAGAACCATTTGTTCAAAACACTGTTCTTTCACCATTGAACTGTTCTTGGCATCTTATCAAAAAACAATTGACTATAAACATGTGGGTTTATTAGTGGAGTCTCAGTTTTGTTCCATTAATCTATACTCTCACCTTGTACCAGCACCACCACCTTGATTACTATATTTTTTAGTAAGTTTTGACATTGTAAAATATGAGTCCTCCAACTTTGTCATTCTTTCTTAAGATTATTTTGATTATTCTCAGCTCTTGCATTTAAATATGAATTTTAAGACTTGATGTGTCAATTTCTGCAAAGAAGCCAGCTCTGATCATGCTGTATCTGTAGGTCAATTTTGGGAATATTGCTATCTTAACTATGTTGAGCCTCCTGATCTATGAACATAGGATGTCTTCACACAACCCTGTATTTCTGAAATAAATCCCACTTGGTCACAATATAAAGCCATTTTTATATGTTGTTGAATTTGGTTTGCTAGCATTTTGCTGAGGAATTTTGCACCAATATTCAAAAGAGAAGTTAGTGTATCATATCTTTCTCTTGCGATGTCTTTGTCTGCTTTTGCCATCAAGGGAAAACTGGCCTGATAGAAAGAGTTAGGAAGCATCCCCCCTCTTCTATTTCTCAGAAGTTTGTGAAAGGTCAGTGTTAATTTTTCTTTAAACCTTTGGTGGAACTTTATTTGTGAAGCAATTGGCCCTAACTTTACTTTTTTGAATACTAATTGAACCTCTCTACTTGTTATAGGTTATTCAGATTTTCTCTTTCTGAGATAGTTCTGGTAGTTTTGTCTTTTTAGGAAGTTGTTCACTAAATCTACATTATCAAATTTGCTAACATGCACAAGACTGTATACATAAGTATTGCCTTATATTCCTTTTTATTTTAGTCAGGCCAGTAGTAATATTCATTCTTTCATTTGCAATTTTAGTAATATGATTGTTCACTATTTTGGGGGGGGCCAGACTTGCTAAAATGTTTGTCAATTTTGTTGATCTCCAAAGAAACAACTTTTGTTTTAATTGATTTTTCTCTATTGTTTTTCTATTCCTTAACTGATTTTTCTACTCTAATTTTTGGTATTTCCTCCTTTCTGCTTGATTTGTATTAACTTGCCTTTCTTTTTCCAGTGTCATAAAGTTAAAGCTTAGGTTAGGTCATTATTTTAAATCTCCCTTCTTTTTTAAAAAATGGGCCTTTATATCTATAAATTTTGCTCTATGCACGCACTCTTTAGGGGCATGCCGTGTTTTTGATATATTTTCATTTTCATTCATCTGAAAGTATTTTATAATTTACTTTGTGACTTTTTTTACCCACTCATTGGTTATTTAGGATGTGTTGTTTTTATTTCCATATATTTGTGAATTTCTTAATTTCCTTTGTTACTTCTTTCTCATTTCATTCCATTGTGCTTGGAAAGTATACTTTATGTGATTTAACTTTTTCTTAAGTTTATTGAGACTTGTTCTACGGCTTAATATATGGTCTATCTTGGAGAATAGTGAATGTACACTTGAGAAGACTATGTATTCTTCTGTTGCTGGTAGAGTGTCCTGGTAGACATCTGCTAAGTCTAGTTGGTTTGTAGGATTGTTCAAGTATTCTATTACCTTGATGATCTTATGTCTAGTTGTTCTATTATTAAAAGTAGGATATTGACATTTTCAAATATTATTACTGAATTGTCTATTTCTCCCTTCAAATATGTCAGTTTTTGTTCCATGTATTTTAGATTTCTACGGCTACATGCATATGTGTTTA